CGGATAATCTGTTCCCGGTTATTTTGCCTATCACCGCTGTCGTTTATGCTAAAGCACTTTGCACGTGAATGGGCTTGGTTTCAATGTACATTTCTGCCCTCTGATGCTTCTGCACGCTCCCCTAACCTGCTTGGCATGGCTTTCTCCCCTTCTCATTTCAGGAGGATCCGGATCTGGTGGACACGGAGCTGCAGCTTGCTACTGAAGGAAGCCTCATCGACCTGGGGAGCGACCTCTTCTTTCCTGAAGAGCCACTCCCCCCCCTCACCCCGTACGAGAAGATATTGGTGATGGACGTGGAAGATGAGGGGCCGCTCGACGATCTCGAGGGGCTGAAAGAGTCGCTGCAGGAGACGTCCCCCAGGGAGGCGACCACCCCAGACAATGGGCGGTGTTCCGCACCCCCAACCCCCGCTATCCCTTCCTCAGCTCTCTATTTCGGTCCCTTCGCGGAGATCGACGCATTGCTCTCTCCGGCCGAAAGGCTGTGGTCCGGATTGACGGCCAGGGTTCAGCAGGCAGTGCGAAAGCTGGTTCCCCCAAGACCGGTCCTGACCACGAGTGCCACTCAAACGGGGAGGCCACCAATGGAGAATTCCTGGCCTAATGTGGTCAGGGCGCCGACACGCCCCCAGAAAATTCCTTCTTCTCGGGGAAGGGTAGGGACCAATGAGCCCGCCTCCACGTCAGCCATGAAGCAGTTGGATCTGCCTCTCCAGCCAGATATCTCGCCAGTAGGAGTAATCCCTCAGAGGTCTCTCGAGATCCCCCCTCCTATCACTCCTCCGAGGCCGGACGCCAAGTCCCTAAAGGCTCAGAAGAGGAGAGAGAGAAGGAAAAAACTGGCTGAGGCGGCAACCAAATCGGGTCCTACCAGGAGCGACCAAGCCCTGAGCTACGCTGAAGTGGCTCGCACCGCGCCGGCGATACCCCGATCTTCTTCGGTGAAAGAGGCCGCCCAGGTCAAAACCGCCAACGCTCTCTCTGCGGCCACATTCAACCCCGTGACAGTCGGCCCTGCTCTCTCGGGAAGTAAGCCATCAGGCTCGACTTCCTCGCCTGTTCCATCGGTGAGTCAGCCACCTAGCTTGACTCGCTCGCCAGCTCCCTCAACTCCAACCCAGGTCAGTCAGCGTACCACTGGAGGTGTGGCCGCTTCTGGCAGGACCTCCCAGAGGTTCTGCTTCTACTGTCGGACCGCGAGTCGCGCCTACCGCTCATGTGAGAAGTATCTAAATGACTTGGAGTATTATGGAGGTAAGCTACCGCCACACCTCGAATGCTGTTTCGAGTGTGGACGACGAGGAACCAATGTGCCTAGGCACCAGCTCCCTAGTCGCGTGTCCACCGACACTCCAGCGTCAGCAGATTTGGTGGCCACCATCACTGCCGCTGTGCTAACACAGCTCGGTAGAGAGGCCCCTGAGAGGCTCGTAGAGTACCCAGCTACTCACGATGCCCCAGGACCCACCAGACGCCGACGTAGAGGGAGGGGATCCGGGCGTAAACTGGCTGAGTAACTTTCCCGGTAATTCCTCGCTCTCTGCTGATAAGCCAGAAGATAGCTCCCTTCTTACTCTCTTCTTCAAGGGATATTCCGCCACGCCTTGGATGAAGCACATCTCCGGCAGTCTCACCCCTACAATCTGAGACACCGGGATCGGGAATTTGAAGAGAATGATCTGGTTCTGTGCAGGACGCATGAGCTCTCCAACGCCGCAAAAAACCGCTCGGCCGGATTATGCAAACCGTTCTCTGTGCCACTCGTCATTACCAAAAATCTGTCCAAGACAGTTTACGAGTTGGCCGACCTCGATAGGTCGGAAAGGCCATGTGAAAAGCGTCAGTCAATGACCTGAAACCATATAAACCAGAGGCCCCGGCGGACGTCAACGAGACCCGCCCTTCCAAGAGCTCCCTATGATAGCTCTCTACGACAGCTCTCTCTATAGTCTATAGTCTCTAAACACCCGCAATTCCGGAATTTGTTTAAATTTAGTTAAACCAGCCATTTCAAAATATTAGGACAGTTTTAGGAACCCAGCCTCCTCCGCGATTGTTTTACTGACTGGCCAGCAACTGTCCTTATTGTTATTTATTTATTTTTTTTACTTCTGGCCGTTTTCGATAAAACGTCCTGGCGTCCTGATTTTGAGGTTTTGAGGTTGGTCGCTGAGGAATGCGTATGATTGTCGCTTCTTCCGCGGAGAGCAAAAATACGTCAAAAATAATATATATATATTATCAATTTTTGTTAATAGGAATCACAGCTCTACCAGGAGATGAGGAACTTCCTTAATTTTTTAAGGCTGGTGGGTCGCGAGATTGAGGCTCTGGAGATGCTGGATCACGCACAAGTCATCGCGGCAGCCGCCGTGATGAGTCTGGACGCGCAGAATCATTACGATATCTGAAGTAAGTAACATTCATTCATCTTGTTTTTCATCATCTTTCTTTATGTGTTCATAGTAATAAAATCTATTTTTTATATTTCAGATGCAGCTGTTTCCAGGGCAAGATGTCTTTTCTTTTTATTACATTAATTTATATAATTAACAATATGCTTTTCCATGTTATTCTTCCTTTATAAATATACGCTTATTAAGATTCAATGGACTATGTATCTAACGTTATCTTTTGCTAAAAATTTGTGTTGCAGGAACCACCCGGATAGTTTTAAAAAAAAAATAATGAATAAAAATACACAGCTTACCGTTATGCTCTTTTGTCATTATTTTTAAAAACCATTCAAGTGATTCCCGGAACACAAATTTTAAGCGAAAGGTAACGTTCGATACATAGTCCACTGAATCTTAACTTTAATAATTATATATAACGTCATTGAGATTTTCTAGGGAAGAATAGAATTTCATTGGAATAAAAAAAAGGGGGACTTAAATTTAATTGATTGTAAAAAATGAAAAAATCCACAGGTTGTCACCATTATTTATTGCAGCCTCCATTCTTGCAAGTTTATTTTACAAAGTTCTACATTGAATATTTACACTTTTTTTATCATGATTCCACATTGTGCAAGAGGCATGGGTTGAACTCGCCCTTCAGGAAAGTGATCTCCAAACGTTTAGCAGCAGCAACCTCACAGTATTTCTCTAGCTTGGCTGGATCCTGTTGGAAGGCGCTCGACAGTCGTGGTGGCAGATAGACGATGCACTCATCGTTCAGAGCGACAACCGCTTTGGGGCCGAATCTAGTCGAAATCACCTTCAGATCGGTGACTACGTACTTCTGGTTAACTGACAGCTCCGTTCGATGTTTCGTTGGCAGAAAATTTCCTCGAGTTGCAATTCTGTTGATGTCGTTGAGATTCGCCATCTTGATTATTGTCTCTTTGCTTGATTCACATCGTTTTAACAAATTTCGTGTGACTACACTTATAAGTTGGAGACTGAATGATGAATCAGTCGATTAACTCCAAGTACTTATAGGCTCTTCGCAAGTGGAGGGGGAATGCACTTATCATTTTTAATGTTAATCGAAAAAGAATTCCAAAGAATTTAGGCAATCTCCACCCAACAGTCAAATTCTTCGCAGAATCTCAACTGCCACCATACTTCGGAGAACTTCATGAAGAAATGTTAATAAATCGATCCAACGGTCAAATTTTTCGCAAAAACTTAACCGTCTGCATACATCTGAGAAATTGATAAAGAAATGGCAATGAATCGATCCAACTGAACCTTTATGACTCATTGAAACTCTGACAAGCAATGATATAAATTGATCTGAATTTTCTTGGAGGTTGTTAGTCTTATGTCAAGATGGAACGCAGCAGCATTGTGCGCTGTTCCCGAATAATTGAAATTTTCCAACATGCCTATCAAAATACACAATCTCAAGACATTCGACAATGGATTGATCGGTGTGCTTACTATATTAAATTTTATACTCGAGTTTTGAGAAGACGAAATCATCTATCAGTTGGCGAAAAAAAAAATTCTCTCTACAATTGCTAGGATTCAGGACTGTCAAGAGAGATTCACAAATAGACAACATCGAGGCGGCCATGTGGAGGTGCCATCACATAGCAGTCGTATTCGCACGGGCATTGTAATCAATCTCCAACATAAGGATCCAGCTTCCTTTCTCAATGATGCAAGACAACTGTCAGCAGCACATTTGAGAAGTCTTCTCGAACAAAATGGCAATATCAAAGCAAATACTATTTTAGCTTGCAACTTTACATTGAAAAAAGATGAAGTGATTACTAGCGAAGTTAAATATTTCAAAAGGGGGGAATGAAGTCATTCTACAAGCCTCAGATCTAGCAACATGGTTTGATGAGAATGTGAGTGAGCCATTGCTTACGAAAATCGGTGATTTCCAAGAACGTGACTCGGGATGGGAGTTGAGTGAAATTATAAATTTGATGGTCAATATGAACCGATATGGTCGGCTGAAAGGTGGCTCTTCAACGTATATCGAGCTGTCCTATGATATGATATAAAAAAGCTGTTGTCAATGTCAAAATTTCGGATGAATTTTGTTTTTCGTGGTCAGTTATTGCTGCTCTCTATCCAGCAAAAAGTAAACGATCTGCTACTTCGTCATATCCTGACTATACGACCGCAACTCTTCAACACAGTCAAAAGCTACTTGATTATGCAAACATTCGCTTCCCCATATTCCATATTCCAGATATTCCAAAATTTGAGAAAAAGAATGACTTGTCAATTTATGTTTATGGAATTGAATGTGGAGTGAACAGTGAGAAAGAAATTGTCCCTTTCTACCTCAGCAAGATGAACTCATGCACACCCACAATTCACTTACTGCTCTTTTGTTCGAATGTGCATGTTGCCGTTGATGTTCAACCAATTTACCACTTCGCATGGATAAGAGATCTCTCAAGGCTGGTTAGTGCGCCAATTTCCAATATTGCACATCGTATGTGGTTGTGGGATCGATGTTTGTGCCGTTTCCGCGAAAAGCAACATTCTGAACGTCATCGACAGGATTGTTCCATTATTAATAAGTGCAAAATGGTTTTACCATCAGAAGAGATGAAAATTTTGAAATTAAAAAATGACAGATATAAGGTGGCTATACCATGCACGATTTACGCTGATCTCGAGTGTATTCTACAACCCAGTGATGGCGGTGATGATGATAGCTTACATCAAAAACATATTCCAGACAGTGTTGCCTTTTACTTGCAGTGTTCCTTCGATAATAATCTATCGCGCTTTGAAATTAAACGTGGAAGTGATTGTATTGCGTGGGTCATGGATGAATTAAAGAAAATCGGGGTGATGGTAAATCATAAACTAAGAACGATTGTACCAATGGAGCCGCTCACATGCGCGCAGTCCCTGGAATTTGCAGCAGCCCAAGTGTGTCATATATGTGAGGGGCCATTCCTTTTGACAGACGTTAAACATCCAGATCATTGCCACTTCACAGGTAAATATCGTGGAGCTGCGCATGCCGGATGCAATATAAACTACACAAATTCACATGAAATACCAATGATTTTTCAGAATCTTTCGGGGTATGATGCTCATTTTAGAATTTTGGATTTGGTGAAGGAGTTCAATGGATCTGTCGAATTGCTGCCTTTAACAAAAGAAAAGAACAGTTCATTCAAGAGATCTATTCCACAAACCAAAGTCAACCTAAGATTTATTGATTCATTCAGATTTATGGCTAGTAGCCTGAAAAAATTGGCGTCCTACTTCACTGATGAAGATAAAACAATTACACAAGCACATTGCAGCACTGAGCAATTTCATTTATTAATGCGGAAAGGGGTATTTTCATATGAATATTGGGATAATTGGGATAAATTGAATGATGGAGAATTACCATCGAGAGTAGCTTTCAATTCCACACTAAACAATCAAGAAATTTCAGAGGGAGATTATCCTCATTCGCAGGAAGTTTGGAAGAAATTTAATATCACAACACTTGGTGAATATTCCGATCTCTACTCAAAAACAGATGTTCTCCTCTTGGCCGACATTTTTGAGAATTTCCGAAAAAGTTGTTTGTCAGTCTACAAACTCGGCCCACTGCACACAGCACCTGAATTGGCTTTTGATGCAATGCTCAAATGCACTAGAGTGGAAATCGAACTTTTTACAGAGGCTGATAAGCTCTTATTTATTGAGAAAGGGATCCGAGGTGGTGTGGCGCAATGCATAAATCGCTATGCTCATGCCAACAATCGGTATATGGGTGAGAATTATAATCCAAACGAAGAGGAGTCCTATCTCATGTACATTGATCTCAATAATTTATATGGAGCAGCCATGAGTCAGTACTTACCATTGGGAGCATTTGAGTGGGAAAATTTCGATGGATTCAATGTCCTCAATGGTCCTGATGATTCACCGATTAGATATATTTTGGAAGTGGTTTTGGAGTATCCGAAAGAGCTCCATGATGTACATAAAGACTTACCACTATGTCCTGAACATTTATTTATTCCTCCAAATCTCAAGAATACCAAACTCATGACAACACTGTATGATAAAAGAGACTATATAATTCACTATCGGAACTTGAAGCAATGTCTGAGCCTTGGTATGCGATTAACAAAGATCCACCGAATCTTTAAATTCAAGCAAGCAGCATGAAGCAAGCAGCTGAAGCCCTACATCGCATTAAATACAGAGATGCGAACAAAATCGACAACTGAATTTGACAAGAATTCTTTCAAGCTAATGAACAACGCAGTCTTTGGGAAAACGATGGAAAATGTGAGAAAGCACAGAGATGTCAAGTTGATCACCAAGTGGGATGGAAGATATGGTGCGAGAGCCTGCATTGCCCGATCAAATTTCCAGAGCAGTCTAATTTTCAATGATAATATGGCAATCATCGAACTCAAACGAGTTCAAATCTGGTTCAATAAACCAATCTACATTGCATTTGCCATCTCGGACTAGTCAAAAATTTAGACCTCCGATTTCCACTATAATTGTGTGAAATGTGAGTTTGGAGAGCGATCTAAATTAATGTACACCGACACAGACAGTCTTCTATATCAATTCAATGTTCCAGACATTTATGAGTTGATCAAAAGAGATATTTCGAAATTTGACAGTTCAGACTAGGGGTATAAACTTTTTCGAAAACAGTTTTATACTTGCTCATTCGCACTTTATCACCCACTTTGAATTTAATTTGGGCCCTTCTTATTCTCTCGTACGTCTCCATAAATTGATTTCAGCAACGATTTCTCATTCTTGGATGTAACATCTTTAGGCTTCATTTTTATTGTACGATGTTTCGTGTTATTATATTCTGCAACTAAATCACTAATAGTATCAATCCATTTGTAGGTTCCACGAATTGAGAATTGTTTCCACATTTTATTTTTCAATGTTCTGTTGAAGCGTTCCCATATTGATGCCGTGAGGTTGCTGAAGGTCGAGTACATGTGTATGTTATCCTGCTTCATGAGAGTTTGGAAACTTTTATTATAAAACTCTTTGCCTTGATCAACATGGAGTTTTTTTTTTGGATTCGCCGCTCTTGGAAGATGAGATTCATGGCATCCACAACGTTATTGGCACTTTTCGACTTAATAGGAATGACCCATGCGTACTTGGAGAAAATGTCAATTACAGTCAGAAGGTAGTGGTAATTTTTGTTGCTGTGTGCTCATATCCACGAGATCAGCCTGCCACGTTTCATTCAGCCCTCGAACCTCAACGCGTCTTCTTAGTTGTTTCGTCGAGCCGACCGATGAAGTTCCTCTGCTATTGTTCGCCTCTTGGACTCCATTTTCTTGTTTGAGAGCATCAATTAACAAAGTCTGAATAGCCTCGAGAATCTGAATCAAAATTTAGGAATTTATAACGACGAGGACGGGAGTAGGATAAATAAAAATCGGTTATAATCATTCTTACATATTTCACTATTGATCAAAAGTCATTTTTATCTATCGAAAAGATCATAATGGCTATAAAACCTTAATTCTAAACTTAATCTACGGTGAACATTAACCTAAAAGAAGTTTTAAATCAATTGTAGACGGTAGGTGGGAAAGGTAGGAAACTGCACGAATTCGTAGTCGGGGTGAGTGAAAGATAACGTAGGGTTCCAGCGAGAGAGAGAGATACGACCTTATAATTCCGACTGATCGGTCGGTAGGGCGTAAAACTAAATTAGGTAGCATTATCCGATCGTTTGGTAACGACAGTATCCGGTTCGGTGGCGAAACCCCGACCATTCGTCTAAATTAATCGTAGCCATAAAGTAGGTAGTAACACAGTAGGCAGCGAACTAAAATATTGAGGTAGCGGAAAAGACGTCCGGCGATAGGGAATGATTAGCTAGCCTACTTCCCTGGTTAGGTAGCTTAGTGTGGGGTTTTGGTAGAGAATTCCTCGACCCCTAGCTAAATCAGCGTTAACGACGGGATAGCTAGCCGTCCGATATTCCCCACCTCACCTAGTAGGTAGCAGATTTATTATCCAGAACGCGGTTGGAAAACCAAGTAGCTGAAATCGACGAATAGGTAGCTGGGATTTAATTTCCCAGCGTTGTTATTGAATTGATTAACTATTCCTTATAATGATTATAATTATTATAATTACAACTTGTTAATTAATTACTTAACGACTGAATTAATTAAGTAATTATTCAATTTGGACTAATTTGTTAACTGGTTTCGCGAAACGGGGAAAATAACGGTAATTCGTGGGAGGTAGCTTCGTAGGTTTTCTGGTCAGCCATAATTCCAGAAAAAAAGAATATTTTCGATTACGGAGCCCGAGAAAATTAATAGTTAGAGTTTGCCGGAGGTAACTCGATAATTTTGTGGTTTCCAACCATAACAATTTGTTCACTAAAAGGTAGTTTCCCCATACTCAACAGGAATCCGCAAAATGATGGGCGGTTATGTCTCGGGGAGCATTATTACATCACCCAGAGAAAGTCACCCAGCCGTATAAAGGTAGCCCAAAAATTACTAGAAATGTAGCAAAAGGAAATTCGACAAGGGTAGCGAAAATTTATTGGATAGCGGGGTCTTTTCCTGAGCCCTTCGGTAAGCCCGGAAAACCCAATAGAATTGGTACTGAGTGTCGGAAATTTATGATAAGAGAGCGTAGAAAATAGGTGGCGATAGGTGGCCTGGGCGAGGGGCATTCCGAGCCGCGTGGAATCCCTCATCCTGTATATTTCGCCCTTTTGGGGCGATAATATAGATCCTAAATATGTTTAACATAATGAGGTAGCAAGGGGGGGGGGGCATTAGGTAGCATTAGGTAGCATTAGGGAGCATAAGGTAGCTTTGAGAGAGGCTTTTTGCCTTCTTAGCAGGCAGCTTATAGAGGAGGGTCTCGGAACCCGTCTTAGCTCGATTTTCGCAGTTCACTCTCGCTCTTGATCCTAACAATTACCCTCTAGGACTATAGGTGACGGATTCGCCTGGAATTTCGTCACAGAAGATAAAATGTGAAAATCATGAATTAATTTGTTGTTGTTGTTGTAATTATGATTATTGAGGTGGCATAAAAGAAAAAATTCGCCGGCAATAGAACGTCCAAAAATGATTGCAACTACAGTTATTAGCTATGAAATATTAGATATTAGACATCAGAAATGACATATTAAATAGTAGACATCACATGCTCGACATTAGATATCAGATATCATATGGTGGATATCCCTCCCCCCCATAACCGGCCCAAAAGTTTGGCGGCGAGATTACCATCGCCGAGTCCATAAAGCAGAACCAGCCATTACCGACCGAGGGTCAACAAGAATGCGATATTGCCCTCCCCCGCAGCCTCACCACGCCCCGCACCCCCTTCAGATCCTTATATCCAGAACCGGTATAGCATATCTACTACCATACAGGTGAGTGCATTCGCCGTTGCACCAGAATGACATATGCCAGGCCAACCAACCTTACGCGCCATCAAAATTACTGAATTGACAGCTCAATTCCCTTTAAGAATAAGAAGTGGGAAAACTTCGCCATAATTTCCGCCAGTTAAAAGTCAATCGTGTAATAAACATGAACCGATCCGCTCTCCAAAACCAAAAAATAAGGAAGTCTAGAAGCAACCGTCGGAGCGATAATTTGACTTGGTGGAAATGTCCTTTCCGGAATCGATCTGTCATTTTCGGGCGTTAGTCGATATAGTGCGTGGTGAACTATTGAATAATAGTAAATAGCTAAAACGGACGAAAGTATCCAAGGATACTGCATCCTTGAATCGAAATTTGTTATTAATTTGTTTATTAATTATAAGCGAGTGGGTGAACGTGGCAGACTGAAAAGTATTCATAATAGGATCAGAGACTACTCTTATTCCGCTGAAGAAAGACGATTGTGTCACTGAAGGATCCACATCTCAATAATTAAGGATTATACTCAAAAAAACGGCTCAACCGTGAGTCTCAAAGAATTAGTCTCATCCTTTCAATTCCCAACTAATCGGCTATCAAAGTCTATAAAGAATTATTCGGGGATAATTATTCAATCGTATTACTTTTCATTAAATAAACTTTGGCATACATAAAATTCTAGATTCGAATCAACCCTTTTAATTGTATTTCTGAAAGATTAAGAATATAAAAGATTACTTTTCAGCACAAAATTTATTCGGAATCATTTGATTATTCCTAATCCCTGAATTCCTATTCCCCTTTCAATATTTCAAATTAACGACATAATCAAGGTAAGAATGAAAACCAAACCTAGCGTCGTCCAAAGCAAGCGTGAAATATAGAAATATTTACCTTCATTCAACATTTCCAAGTTAGCGTTTCCATATTTCTATATTAAAAGTTCTAGTTCTTGTTTTCCGTAAATAACTATACTATACAATAGTTGTCCTTCGACGCTGACAACGTTTTCTGACATAACACATTTCCGTACAGAGTCCAGTCTTCAGCCCTTTTGGAGCTGTAGGCACGCTTCCAGAGTCTTCTAGACTGGCCCATCAGCCTGTTCCGCTCCCAACTCCACCATGCTACTTTGCCCCCTTGCCGGCATGGTTTGGCTGGGCATGCCGCCTGAAACTCCTCGGTTCGAGCTCCGTGGATTCTGTCCGCCTCCTCGTCTAACCTGTCCACGTTGCAGGGCCTGACGCGTCCCGTCCTCAGTCCTTCCTTATCGCCCTTTCAAAAATGCCCCAGTTTGTCGCCTTCGGCTTTCTAAGTGTGGGCTCCTGCTGTGGCATAGCACTGCCTTTGATGCTGAATCTGATGCGCCGGTGATCGGGGAGTGTGTCCTCTTGGTCCACTCTCCAGTCAGCGCATCTCTGCGCCAATCATCTATCACACATGGTGATGTCGATGACGCATTGACAATGTGATATGACAAACGTGGGACAAGAACCCCTATTCAGGATTTCCAGGTCCGCGTTTGCCATGTATTCAAGGAGCGCGGTTCCCCTGTCGTTGCAGTTCTTACTGCCCCATACCACATTCTGCGAATTTGTATCGCATCCTATGATGAGCGACAGCTTTTTCGACCTGCAATAGTCGACCAAGTTCCGCAGTTCTATGTTTGGTGGTATCATTACCGAGTCGGGAGGGAAGTAGGCCCAGCAGAAGATACTGTCCTCGGTTGTTCCCCTTCCCCAGAGCCTCACGATTATCGCCAGTAGGTCCCTGTGACACAGCTTCGCTATTCCCCTGGCCTCGCATACTCCTTTGACAGTAATGCAGGTCCTTGGACCCAGATCGCCTCGGGGCATAGAATAGCTGTTCTTCACTTTCAGTAAATCCCCTCACTGTATTAGACAAATACTTGTGTGCTTAACTGCTAGGCTGCAAGTTGATCTGGGAGCACTGGACGAGCGGGAGGGTTGAATCTCCCTCCGCACGTTGTCCCATGCTCCTGCGTTTTTGCGCCCCCGCGCTCCTAGGGGTAGCCTAGCTGGGGTTGCCTTCCGGCTTTCCCGCTTGCCCCTGCTGAGAGGTG